ACTATATTGATATTTTGTTTCTTTTAGGCCAAATGCATTTATTAGTCTATCAAAATTACTACAAACTTGGGAGTTTTGAATTCTAGTGAACTTTTGTTCATATTGTAAGAATAATGTGTGCATAGGAATGATATTTCTGCACAACATTACTTAAATTATCATTTGAAAGATTTATAAGCACATTATATGATACATAAATGAGAATGAAATATATTCTTAATAAATAGTGAATTTTATAGAATATTTGTAAGTGCATGATTGACTATGATGGAGTTACCCCTTTATGATACTAGTGAAGTAACACTAAAGTACCCATGCACATATATAAAAAAAATTATTAATATTGAAGTATCTTGATTGATACAAATTTTAGATGATGTTCGTGTGACGGTTGTACAGATATAGAATAATATTTATATACTAATGATATAGTAAGATTTTTTAATATTATTAATTATTTATATTGATTTATTCAAAGTTTAAGTGGTATGCATATTTTTTTTTTCTTGTATTACTGTAATTTAAGAATACAAGTATTCACTGTCTTGTTTAACTCACTGTTATTTTTAAACTAAATTTTCAAGTTAATTTAATTGATTAAAAATGAGGGCTAGAAGAAAATATTTATAGAATGCACATACAACCAATAGTGAGGTAAATTTAAATTATATCGCTTTAATTAATTTGATTAGTGACTCTTTCATTTGTTAAATGATAAATGAATATAAAAAACTTAGTTCCTACCATTCGACCATCTGTTACCGCTTTGATTAATTCCAACCCCTAGCCAGGTAGTGATAAATTATAAGAATTTTATTTGATATCCTCATTTTTTATTCAATCCAAGAAAAATCTAAGAGAATGACAACTTACTAGATAAAAAGCATTTTATATCAATATTTGGAAACAAAATATGTGCTCAAAATTGAAGTGATAAATGAGGAATTAAATTTATGACTATTCAATGCAATTATGGGTCATACTAACAAAACAAGGACATAGAAAGCATACTGCCACTTTGGAAGATAAATTCAAGTTTAATCCATAATATAAATTATGCAAGTATTTATTATATTAAAAAAGCAATACAGAAGCATAAAAAAGAAAGAAAAGATCTTAATATGACCTTACTGATCATTGAAAAGTAAATGAAGAGTAACTCAAGAATATATTTGGTTCGTTAGGAAACATGTCCATCAAAAAAGTTTCAACATGTATTAATAATATGTAAGGGAAAATGTGACCACTATTTCAAGTATTTCTGCAGTAATCAAAAGGATCAAATTACACTAGGATTACATCAAAGATTAGCAATAAAGACCAAATCATTTACTGGCAGATATGTACCCGACACTGTTAAACGTGTCGAAGCTGTCCAATTAATTTGATACTTCCCGGACAAATCTCGACACCGTTCAAACATAGCCCGACACCATACATGGGAAGATAAATTCAAGCGGCATCAAAGCAACGGCAACAAACAAACAAAGCTACGACATTCTATAGGTCTTACAGTCTTAACATCGCCTCATAATCATTCTGAACAGCCCTGTTGAAGCGAACAGTGAGGAAACCGTCGTCGAGAGTCACTAGTCGAAGCAAGGGAGTCATGGAGCAGCCCTGATCGATGCAAAAAATTTTTCAAGCAACCCTAATCGAAGCAAGGGAGTCTTCGATGTGATCCGGAGCTATCACTCGAGCATGGACACGATCCAGAGCATGATACAATGCTTCCAGTGATCTTCGACACAAGCTAAGGGACGATCCAGAGCTTCAACTCCAGCTAGGGCACAGTCCAGAACACGATACAAAGCATCCACACAATCTCCCTCGCGGTCTAGAGCATTGACGCGAGCTAGGGGACGATCCAAAGCATTGAAACGAGCTAAAGGACCATCCACGCATGCAGGTTTAGCGCTTAAACCAACGTGGTTTGCCCCCACCCCCCCTAACTTTTTTTTTTTTTGTCGGTGGTAAGTTAGTAACACGAAATTCTTATGTATTTACTTATCTCACGCTAAAACTTTGATATTTACTTGCATACCACTTTATCTGTGCATCAAAAGGTGGACTTGATTCAGCAAGTAGTGAACCTTGCTAATTAGTGGTTGTTTTGGAAAATTTGATAACATAGGGAAAGGATTGAGTGGCATGTAGGTAATATGACAAGGAATTATATGTACAATCTAATGTTGAAATCTTTGAAATCTTGCTTCACTAATCAATGTATTCATGTATGCATCAGCTCTAAGCCTCTAACATTTGAATAAACAACACAAACCATTTGGTATTTAGATTAATTAAATGATACTTACCAGTGAATTCTTATGCATTTAGTAGATTTGGGTGTGAAATATGTAAAATAAAGAATAATTGTTTGTGTGCTATCTATATAAATGGCCATCATCCTTTTACTCTCTCTCTCTATATATATATATTAAAAGGAATGCCCAGAGGCTATTATACAAGTCTCCAGTTACCCCTAATGTGTCTAACAATTCGAGTACCACCTCCTTAAGGCCAACTGTGCCATATAATATATACTTTAGGCAAATGATTAATAGGATAATGGCTACTGAACGTACCTCTAACAATCTCATAGAGGACAAAACAAAGCCTTTATGGTCATATGTCACCATATTCGAGAAATTGAGATCAATCGAAACAAAAGCCATTATAGAATTTCAATGTCATTTTTGTCAAGGAAAGTTCTAGGGAACATATTCTAGACTTAGAGCACACTTGCTTCGATAATTTGAAGTTGGTACTCGAGCATGTCCTAAAGTAACTTCGACACAAATTCAAGATATGCAGAAGCTAGATGTTCATAGAGAGAAAAAAAATGTTGCATTCAGAAAGGTTCCACTTTCTTCTTCTGGTCTAAGAGGTTCTAAACAGTTGTGTAGCTCTCGATCAAGTGGGAATTTATTTAGCAAAATGTTATGAATAAGATCATGAGAAAAGAAAAATGTAGAGCAATAGTATTATTGAAAGAACATTTAATTTGTAACATAGAGATCATTTAAATAAAAAAATCACTCGAATGATTTATTTTGCAGCTCTTCAATTTCATTTAGCAAGAAATTCATATTATTTTAGTGTGTTCTCAATTGCAGCAAATAACATAATCACGAGATATATTTCTCTTGGTTATAATTTGCTAAGAATAACTTTGCTTAAAAAAGAGAACGAATGTTGAGAGAATGCTGAGTCTATATAGAAACCTAGACTAAGAATGGAGTTGCCATAATTTGTGATGGTTAGACATAAGTGCAAAGGAGCAAATTTAGTAGAAAATATTTAAAATACATATTTATAATAAGAATTTATTAAAAATATAAAAATGTGTCCATGTTGTATAGTATCTTATTTTTTTACAATTATGTCATGTCACCATATCTATCATGCGTCTGTGTCTCCACTTCACAGCTAAAAAGGTATCCAAAGTGAAGTGATTTGATGAATGCTTTTTGCAAAACGACATGGTTCTGGTTAAAGAAACTTTTGGCGAAAAAATTGCAAAGAGAACAATGGCAAAAATGATTCAAGTATAAATAACTTTGATTAGCATAATAAAGACTTGGTATATTATATGTAATTTTAGTTTATGATTAGCTGGTTAACATGGATAACTGTCTCATAAAGTATATAAAATAAGAGAATATCATCAAAATTTTAGGCAGATTTTATAAAATTGTAATTACATCCACAATGTTAAATAAAGGGATGTATGATAAAGGAGTTGCTCATAGCCAACTTGAGCACAATGAGAATAAGAACATTAAGATGGGTAGATGGCAAAACTTAAGAAAATAAGTCAAGGTATGAAAATATTAGTAAGATGGTTGTAGAAATATTTATTGAAGATAAAATAGTTGACAAAAGACGTGTTCTGCACAGGTACACAACAAGTAGTAGAAAATATGCCCCTTAGATGAGTTAGATAAAATTAGCGATAAGGGCTAAGAAAGAAAAAGGTAAACCTAAAATAATATGGATGAAAGTAGTTTGGATATATTTGCCAACAATAGGTTTATCTCAAGTGGAACTGGAATGATGAAGAATGACATTTTATAAAACTAAACCCCAAACAGTTGAGATAAGTATAATGTTGATAATGATTTTGAATTATTGATTAACAGATTAGTTTAAAGGTTTAGTTCTAGAAACTAAATGATGAAAATGAAAACTATTAAACTCCATTGTTACTAGAACCAAACATAAGGGACCTAGTGCTAGAAATAATTTTCCCATTAGAGTAGATGGCTCAATGATGGGTTAAAATGCACCAATGATCTCATCAATGTATTAAGGTAAATTTTGATTATTAACGTTAAATATCTGACAAACAATTTTGTGCAAAGAAGAATCTAGAAGAATAATCCAATCAGCAATTTGTCCATGACCTTTCAAATAGAAATAAAATAAACTAGAAACCTTTGTGAATCCTAATCTTAAAACTGACACTATTTTTCGTCAACAAAAAATTCTCTCCGTCTTCAATGCGAATAGTAAAGTGACGTTTTATCCCCTAAAGCGCTACAATGTTTTGCAATAACCTTCCGAGATTGTAATTCTAGTATACCCAAAAAAGAACTTAATATGGTTATCTCAAAGCGTAGATCAAAATAGTAAAAGCAGCTAGAAGCAAAAAAAGTTGAGCACTAACGGGTAAAAATACCAAGTACTTAGTTCATAGCTTGCCCAAGGCCGAGACAGTTCCACGTTAAAAATTAATAAGTATTAGAATTTACATACACCACCCAATTCCTATGTATTGACATATCTAACACCTACACTTCATTTTTTACATTTCTAACACCCAAATTTTTCATCTCAGATAAAAATATCATTATTTTAACTTTTAAAAAGTGAAATACACATTTTCATGCATAGATAAGGTAGCATATGCATGAAAAAATTAAATTTAGGTGTTAAATATGTAAATACATAAAAATTGAGTGGTAGGAATGTAAATCTTTCTAAAAAATATTAATTACCACAAAGCTATATGTTATGCACTGTCTTCCCATTTCCGCATATGCATTCAGGAAATGGATTCTCATAAAAAGATTCTTCAGTTCTTAACCGGTTACGTCCTTTCATTCCAGGTAAGGAACCATATCTTTTTCTTGGAGCTCCTTTTCTGTGAGGTGAGATCAATAATTAATATAGTGAGGCCAAGCATAAAGAATCCTTAGATAAAATTCATTGCATCCAAAAGGAAATTCTTATGAATCTCATGCAAAAGTTCTTTCTACCTGAGTTTATGCATTTGAGTTATAAGTTGTGACAGTTTCGGACCTTCTTTTAGCTCTCCCTTGTCTATCTTATCAAAAAGCACCACCAAGCCTTTCCTGATAACAGATAAAATTGCACTAAGAACATTAAGAAAAAGCAGGCTGCAGGTGTCAGAAGTAGAATAGCTTTTTAAAAAGAAGCGTGTCATGTACGATTGAGGCACAACATACAGTGCAAGAACAAAGAAATCGAGCTGAAAATAAGTAAATAATCAATGCAACTATAATAAGTATTTCTTTTACTGATCCTCGAGTAATAGGAATTCAACTTTTTAAGTTATTTATGCATCATTTGGCCATTCTCAGATTAGCTTTAGCGAAGAGATATGTTCAACAACCATAGAGGTTCAATGATCACTATCATCTGAGAGAAAATAGATAGAAGAACAGCCGATAGAATATGAAATAAACAAATACCCACAATCGTCAAACAATGATGTTATAACAATAAACTGCCTTAAAACGCCTAGCCTCAAGAAAGCATTGCACAATAAGATGAATCAAGCTGTTATGCATACGCCAAAGAACAATTTAGTCAATTGTTAGTTTTTATTATATGGAGGTGTACATAGGCTAATATGTTTAGGGTTAGGAAGACATGAGATTGTGGTCTTGAGTCTTAAGTTAAGGATTTGGGATAGATCGCCTATATCTCAATTGTAGGTGCTTATATATTATGTATATGAGTTGTAGTGCTTTTATTAGTGAAGAAAAACATTCTATTTTCCCTAAATTCTGTGAAAAAATTTGCTTTGATTCGTATCAAATTGATTTCAGAATATTTGACTTTAGGAAGATCACTGACGTGAATAATCTGTGTGGAAGGATCGCAACACACGGGGCTTCGCGAGAAACAATCGCAACTGGGAATAAACGAAGATTGATCACTATATAGTTGTGATAATTCAGTGGGATTTATCGTGATACAGTCATGATAAGAGCTAGCTGTGAAGCCAACATTAGGATTGCGGTGTATAGAGCGTCAATCGATCGATCCAACCTATATGGGAAGCAAACCAGGAAACACGGCGTATAGTGACCCAATCTCGCAATCCACTCACGATACAAGCTAGCTGGGAAGGATCGCGGCATCCCCTAGTCGCGAAAGAGTCGGGATTCGGATTACCTGGGAAGCCGAGAACGGTATCTCAATGTACAAGAGTTTCGCTTTCTTGATAAAAAAAATTTTATGGAAGTAATGGCAGTACCAGAGCCAAATCAGAACGGAAATGGAGTGTTTCTCGTCTATGGAGGGATGACTCTCATCCATGGAGAAGAGATTCACAGCCCTAGAAGAAATAATGGGAAAGATCGTGGAGTTTCACACAAACCCGCCTTCGCTTGCTATGAAATCGAGCAACAATGTGAGGAGCGAATGCGAGCGACAACAATCTAAGGAAATCATTTGGCATCAGGTAACGTCGTTGCTTTAGGAAGAGCTGAATCTGCGGAACTAAGTGAAGGAATCAGGAGCAGATATGAGGTGCATCAATCTGAAGGATTCACGCAACATCATGACGGAGCAACTATTCTATGCAGATGGGAGCCACAGGATTGAGCAAAGTTATTGGGAGCAGACTCGAGCGGAAACACTTGAAAAGGATAGCATGACATCCAAACGACTTGAATGAGTGGAAGCACGTGGGATTCAACGAAGAAGTCGGAAGCGAATTCGAGCGGCAATACCTGGAGGGAACTGCAGGACACGAGAGATTCAGGCGAAATAGGACGAGATGGGATGCAGGGCTGGTGGAAATCGATTCTAAAGATTTCGGTCTTGAATAGGGAACTATAGTGGGATGGACCCAAGCGGAGGGCAACATCCAACTGCGTTAGTGCCTTTTTGTTGTTACAGCCTTCTGAGCGGAAGACGATTCAAGAGTAATGATGGGAATAAGACAGGTGGAGAAGAGCATGGGAGAGTGTAATGGACCGATTTTGACACTTCAGAATATTCAAAAGGGAGACAAGACAGGGGTGCTTCGCGGTTACCCCAGTTTATGCAAGACTTTGGTAAAGCTCAAGATCACGATGAATGCAATTCAGAACGCAGGGTTGGGATTCTGCATCTACTTGCAAAACATGGAAGAGAAAAGTGATATTATCTTAGCAGATCTTACGGCGAGTGATAAGCTACTAAAAGAATTGTTTGGGGCTGCAGTATTCTCCAAGATTGACTTGAAATAAAGATATCAATAAATTCGGATGTGGCCAAAAAATGTGTAGAAGACTACATTTTCAACTCATAGGGTCACTACAAATTTTTGATTAAATGGAAATTATAGCCATATAAGGATGCAATGTGGGAACCAAATGACTTGATCTAGCAACAATTTTTTTTCCCCACCTTGAGGACAAATGTGTCTTTTTGGGAGAGAAGTATTATTACGGGTAATTTAGTCATTTGTTAGTTATTATTATATGAGAGTATAAATAGGGCTAATATGTTTAGGATCAAGAAGGCATGAGAGTGTGGGCTTGAATCTTAGATTTAGGATTTCAGAGAGATCATCTATCTCTCAAATTATAGGTGTTGGGAGAGATCGTCTATCTCTCGAAGTGAAGGTGCTTATCTTTATATATTTGAGTTATACCGTTTTGTGTTGGTGAAGAAAAAATATTTTATTTTACCTAATTTATGTGGAAAAATTGGCTCTAATTCCTATCTCAAACCACATATCACATTAAGAACAATGTATCAATCTAAATGATCACATTCAACAATGATGCCTCTGAAAATCAAATTGGTCATACAAGAATACATGTAAAATTTTCAATAAAATAATAATAATAATAATCATCATATTAATAATAATAATAATAATCATAATAATAATAATAATAATAATAATAATGCATTCTTCATAACAAATAGTTGAAATTATATTAGCAATCAGGATGGTGAGGTAAATGTATAAGCGCAGCCTTTATACTAACTTGTAAAATAATCCAGAAGTTTAAAGAAGCAGACCTATCTGGACTAATTGTGGGACGGTGCCCAAGAAACCTCCGATGCCCCTCCACAGCTCTTGCCATGTTACCAGTATATGAAGGAACGAACAGATCACTTTCAACTGATATAATATAATCTAAAGCAGCAGATTGTGTTGCATGACTGGCAAATTTATTCAATTCTTCACTTGTAGCTATTGTATCCTACATAAACCAGTCACTTTGATGTCAGAGTTCAAACTTCACATGTTTAAATCCTCCAGCAGAAATATACAAATTAATAATTCAATAACAAAACCTTGAAAACCAAGTTTGGGAAACGAAATCTCAAATCTTCCAGGTAAGTTTGACCACCAAATATTTCACCAGCAGCAATGTATATCCAGATTGATGAAAGATAACCTAGAGACTGCAAAAAGATTCCAACTTCCTTTGGCGTTAGAGGGCAGGACCCTTCATTTCTCTGTTCAGTTGAATTAATTTTCTTCAGCTTCCAGTGATTTGTATTCTCCCTTCAAAAAAAAAACAAAAAAAAAAAGAACTTTCAAGCCATGTTCACAAATACGCAGTAAGAATATTTATCTAAATTGCAATGTACCTCATAATTCTTAGTTCTTCAGTTTCTGCTTCATTCAAGCCATAAGTACAGCCGGTAAATGATAGCATATCCTTTTCATAACGCAGATGAAGGGCAATATATCGCCCATGTGACCTCAACCTCTCCACTAGCTTCTGTGGTTTCAGTATCACGTAGGCTCAGTACCTAATTTACCAAAATACCGCAGGACATCTCTTAAATGAACAAAAGTATAAATGTTAGAGAAATTGCAAAAAAAAGTCTTTACATAATCCATAAAGCAGGGGATTTGACCTTTCCAAGCTCCTCAATTGGAGAGGAAAATCTAAGTGCATTATATAAAGTGCGGCATCGTAGCTTTTGGATATCAATAGGCAAGTCATTGTTAGCTAGACGGGAATCAGATTTGGGCACATGAATGACCTGACCAAAATACCAGCTTTAGAAATTCAAAGAACGTAAAAATTTTCAATTAACAGAAAAAAAAATAGCTACATTGAGAAAACTAAGGATTGCAATTTCAGATATATAATTGTTTGGCTAGAACATATTGCATCTCAATGCTTGGCCAGTTCTCTTCCTAACCAAGGAAAAACCAACTTATTGAAAGTGTATATGGATGAATTTCTACAATATCAATCACCTGACCAAAACAAGCAGGAAAGACTACCTGATACTCCTTCCATATTCTTTGAGCCAAATCCTCATAGTAACTAGCACTAGCCCAGGAACTAAAGTGTTTACGAGCCCTCGGAGCTGATTCCAATTCCTTTGGTAGATGCCCCACAACACGCACATCTCCTCGAAGGGATCGAATGAAATGAGGCTCATCAAAAATGTCTGCAAAGGTGCTGCTCACAAGTGGCAAGTTATAAAAGATATGATGCAATAATTATGGGAGGATTCTTCAACTACAGATAGTAATGGTTATAAGCCTGCAAACCTTGAATCCTGCCAAAATGATCTCTTATCTAGTTGGGGAATTACTAAAGTTGCATTCATTATCCGAGCCACGGCAACTATATCACTTATCTGAAGATGAGGAGATTCAAAATCATATTGAAAAAGTATACAAATCTTAAAAAAGGATGAAGTAATCATTCACTGATAACATAATCAAAGTATCATGGGAAGCAAAATGGTATGAAAATTATAATAATTTTTATCACTACTACAAAGCTTCTTTGTGCATGTACACATGCAAGGCTTCTAAAAGAAAACTAAAAACGTATGGAAATGTGAATGCCAAAAATTGGATGGCCAAAGTTATCACGAATCAATTAGAAGAGAGAAAAAGTGGTCATGAGATGACAAAGAAAATTGATGTACTCATAAAGAAGGGACACGAGGTATGTTAAACTCAATCAACTAGCTTTGAATAAAATTTTCTTTAGATATATTATTCTTTCTAATTTTGAGAGTGTACTGAGAGACTAAGAGATTTTTGAAAGAGGTTATCTTTTGAATAAGCGTGAGGCGTAGTTCTACTATCTCGAGTGATTTCTTTTCTCTTACTTTCTTCCATGGTTATTGGATTGAAATTTTGATTGGTTATAATCAAGTTAGATACTGTCAGAATTCCACCAGCACATATTTAAAGTTAATTGCATGCTTTTCCCCTTTTTTTTTCTGGAAGTTTTCTTGCATTGCCTTTAGCAGAATGCTGTTAACTTATTGTTTGCATCAAATTTCAACATGTTATCTAACATTTATCTAAAGTGACAAACAGAAATCAAAATGAAGAGTTTGTAACCAATGAATTTGTATGCATCCATGATCTTATGCATATCATGATTCGTAATGGATCCGCATTGGCAAACACTAGGCCCTAATACATCTACATCAAAATTGTTCTAAGTGATATGTATAAATATTTTAATAAATGAAAAGAGACCTTCACAAAACAAATCACGCCTCCTTTCTAGAACCTGAACTGAGAACTAAAGGCCTCAAAGCAATCAAATGGCATAAAAGCATCAAGCTTTACAGTAATTTCATAGCATCGTTTCCCATATAATGCAAACAAATTGGGACAAATCGGGACTCACTTGATATTGCTAGATATAAATGATTAAGTTGAAATCTATAAAGAAGATTGATTATATAGTAGAAACCGTGGGCAGGTTCAAAAACAATAAAAAAGCAGGTAATGCGAGTGAGAAGAACTTACGCCAGTTCTCATTTGGTTAAGTCCACCATTGCTTCTAACAGTTATGTAACGGTCCCACGTATTGGCTACTGGTAATGACATAAAAGCTAGTGTGAGAATGTATTTAACTTTATCCTTCTGATATAAATAACAGCTTTGCTTGCCGTTGCAGCTAAGTGCTGAGAAATCAACAGGAAAAAAATCTCTCTCATAAATAATGTACATTCAATAATCAGTTTAATGGACACCAAAATATATTTATATGTTGATCTTGCAAAATCTAGAGAATTTGATGAAATAGGAATTTCAAACAATAAAAAATGCAAAAAAAGGGATTGAAGCAATGAAAAATAACCTTCATATTTATGAGTGGGCCTGACACATGGATGGTAACGAAGAGTAGAGGGAGAATCCCATAATTGGTCCTCTAATATCTGTCAAAAGAAAATGAAGTCCTTTCAAAACATGTAATTCAAGTTTAGGAGACAAAAAAATAAAATGTAAATGCAAAGAACAAAAGATCTAGAATGGGGAGAGAGGGTGGAGAAAAAACAAGCAGCCTCTGAAATTCTGGAAAATTTAAATCAATATAAATTACAACAAATTTTGAATGCAAACTTACAAAATCAATGCTTAGAATCGGTAGCCATAATACCAGAAGAATTTATTTAGATTTGAAGAAAATTAGCGAATATCAACAATGAACAATAAAAAGGATGTTTTCTAAAAAAAATGGCATCATAAATGCAGACTTTTCCAGTAAGATCAAGATTTGCAAGATGGCACCAAGTGATATCACAGAGGAAAGTGAATTGTGGGAAAGAAGCACTAGCAATCAGATTCCTAGTTTTTTTATCAAAGAACTCAGTGGCTAAGTTTTGCATGACACTATTACTCAAAAAACTAAAATTTGATGAAACTGAGATCCGGTGAGTGTAAAAAAGCCATGAGATGTTTTTGTGCAAGGAAAATGTACAGAATCGCCTTGGCAAATGAGCAACTACTATGAATAAAAATTTACGCAATATGACCATTTTATTCCAAATAAAATTTTGTACCTACAAATATTGAAGGTCCTTCAAGTATACATTTAAGCCAACAAACAATTCTAAAATATGCAAAACAGGGCTAGACAAAAAAAGATGGATCAAAGATGATTAGCTTAAGACCGTCGATGAGAGCATTAGAGAGTGCACTAAACTGCCACAAAGCTTTAGCAGGTCAACCCCATGTTAAATTTGTTTGGATGAGCTAATTGTCAAATGGCTTGGCACTGGGAGAAATCCCAGCTAAGAAGTGAACTTTCTGGGTTTGTTCACAAGAAGAATGTTTTACAAGAGCTATGAACTGCTTAGAAACCAGAGTAAAGCACTCAGAGAAAAAAACCAGGGAGGCCAAGACAATATAGGCATTTTGAAGACATCAAATGGGACTAAAATCATTAACAATAAGTTCAAACAGATAGATTAGCATAATAGCTTTACACTTTCACATCTTAAACAATGAATCGTCTAGCATTAAACATAACAGGCAGAAAACTGGTTAAATTCAAATAAAATAGTATATCTCACATCCCAAGAAAAAACTAAGTGGAACAGAAAGATATTTCCTACAGACTTGAAAATTCACGGTTTCATTCCTTCTCAGCTCCGCTTCACCTATGGAAGCAGTTATTCTCATTCTCTCTTCAGATTTGTCTCTAAGATATTTTGCTTCATTATTTGTGACTCTCTTTTCCTCCAGCTCTAGGTTGAAGGAGCAGGATGCTCTTTTGCTCTCCAATCCCTTTTTCTCTCCCCTTGCCTCCACACCTAATTTGCATAGAGCCCTACTTATCAGAAATCTAGTTCCAAGTTTTCTCCCTCCCCTTTCATCTTCATCTCATTCTTCTTCCCCACTTGGAATTTCTCTACTTTCCTCAAGAATTGAAAATCTCTCAAATCCCTCGCCCACTTATTCTTCTTCCAAGCTTAAGATTCCTCCCCTTTCCTCAAGAATTTAAAATCTTTCAAATCCCTTACTCTTTAATCAAAACGTACTTCACGCCACCAAGAATAAAAAGTTTACCCTGTTTTTTGAGCTTGGAGATGAGAAGCAAGTCTCTTTTACTTTTGATGATCTCTCAACAAGGGAAAAGGGTCGGGAACTTATGTTGGTGGGGCAAGTTGTCAACATGCGACCATATTATGGATCATTTCTTAATGCAATATAAAAAGAATAGAAACTATATTGCAATGTTGATCTCCTTATTACTTCTTTCTTTTCAAGTTCTTTTACCATGGATTATGGTATTATATCGAGTAGATTATGGTATTGTATTGAGTAGAGGGCCTAAATAGACTTAGGATTTTACTCCAGTTAAAGAGGCTTGGACAAGATCCCTTTACGGATCGAACTTCTCAACTTTCATTATGTTGTTGGAATGAAAGTTGTGGTCGGAAGTGACAAGCACATTGGGTAATCATTAGCTAAAGGAAAGATCACTATTATAAAATCTAAGCTGACCTTTTGCCCAAGTTTTTGTTCAAATCAACACATTTTTTATTCTCCTAATTTAATTAGCAAATTGTTTATGATTGAAAGCTTTAACTGAAAGTGTGCTCGGTTTGTACTTCATTTGTTCGTAATGATAATTCATGCCCCAAACAATACCTTAACCCCACATTTATTGCTCCAACAGGAAGAAGCAAGTGACAAGCTCCTCAAAAAATGTAAATAAATAAAATAAAATAAAAAAATCAATTGTTATATAATTCCCCTCAAAAGTGACAAGCACATTGGGTAATAATTAGCCAAAAGGAAAGATCACTATTATAAAATTCAAGCTCACCTTTTGCCCAAGTTTATGTGCAAATTAACAAACTCTTTATTTTTACTAATTTAATCAGCAAATTGTTTATGATTGAAAGCTTCAAACTAATGTGTGCTCAGTTAGCACTTCATTTGTTCGAAATGATAATTCATGCCCCAAACAATATCTCAATCTCACATCTATTGTTCCAATAAAAAGAAACAAGTGACAAGCCCCCTCAAAAAATATAATAAAAAAAATAAATAAAATAAAATAAAAAATCAATTGTTATCTGGCGCCTAACTAGACACTAATAAAGCCCTTAAAAATCTAAATTGAAAACCTCTATCTCCTCTTCAGCTCTTCTATCAAGCCAACCATCAAGCTCAGAGATTTAGGTTCTTATTCTTCTCGCCCTAATCTTTCCCCTCCTCCTCCCACTTAATTTAACTTAAATTGTTTTATAGTTACTACCCATTTATTCCTCGGATATCTTTACTCCCCCATCTTGTTTTTCACTCATGGCCCTTCTACCCACTCAAAGAATGTCTGCCCCTCCTTCTATCCATTCAAGCAATGTCTTTGCCTCCTAAACATTTCCAACAACACTAAAAAGCCAAAGATAAAAGCTCTTTCAACCATTATGAACCACCCCTATGAAAACTGAGGGTAAGGTTGCATGCTAGATTGAAGGAGCTGACCTGGGATCACCAAACAGATCATATGGGTTTACTTGAAACAAAAGTAAATCCCAAATCTAGTTTGAAACTATTTAAGAAAAAAATTATAAGGATTTTTCCAAATGAAAATTCATGCAATAATTTTCAATGCTGCGATAGTGGGAGAATTTTTGGTGAAACAGAATCATATACGACTTTCATTTACTCCCATTATTATCGCTCCTCAGCTTATTCATGGTGAAGTCACATTTTGTAGCTCTATAAGATTTAAGGTTAATTTCTTTATAAATGATGCTAGGGGAGAGAAATGCATTGGGAGTTTATATGAGAGCTTGCTCCCATCATCGATACTGCTTGAATAACTTTGGTGACATTAATAGCATTATATCTAATAATGAAAAAATTGGAGTAAATATAACTCCTCATAGTAATCTCATACGTTTCAACTATTTTGTCTTTAATATCATCTTATTAGAGATGCCAAGCACTGATCTCGTCACATGGTCATATAATAAAAAAGATAATTTGTATATACTCTAGAATTGATAGAATATCAATGGGCAGATATATTTCCAAATTCCTTCATCATTAGACAATTCCCCTCTCATAAATATGGGTAACTCTACTACGACGAGGCATCATTTCTTCTTCAAATTTTTTTTTGACCCTGCCTAAGTATAAGACTAAGATGGCTAAGGCTTGGGCTTCTTTTGTTCATAGAAAGCCTATCTATATTTTGTATAAAAAGCTCAAGGAGGTAAAAAATGATTCTTGTAAAAACTAGTTGGATCTGTGGCTTTAATTGGCATCATGAACTGTTTTTTTCTTGAGAAGAAGGGAGAGTGCATTCATTGTTTGAGAAAAACAATCTATAAATTTTTGCTAGAAAATCCCTTATAGATTGGTTAAGCCCAAATTGTTACCATACTTTGAGGCTACCTATTCAAGAAAATGTCAACTACATTATCAATAATGGGAATCGTTGCTTTCCCACCTTATGGGATGCTTTTAGTACTAAATATTTTATTATTAGGGAGGCTGAGAAAAACTTTTTGAGGTGAATTCTGGTAGTTTAGCAACTCTAAGACTGTGGTTTTATTTACTCAGTACCTTCTCTTAATTGGTCACCTCTTATCCGGCATAAACGATACATAGTAAACTTATTTCTTTTGTTGGATGACATGTATTGAGTGGCTTACAAATTGGATAAGCTTGCTGACAAAGGCATTAAGGTTGTCATCAAGCTAAATATGAAATAAATTGGAGAAAATCCATTAACTCGGGATGCGGAAGCTCCAGTGATATCGCAAGTCAAACGACCTGCGGCTCCTGCAATTGAGAGAATAATTGGTCGATTTTCTTTGTTTATTTTTTATTTTTATATATTTTATTTTCAGGAAGTTTGATTTTTTTCATTTCTTCCCTTTTTTGGTTCTTTTTTGATTTCTTATTTTCTTAGTTTATTTTCTATTATGAGACTTTTACATATGTTGTATTTTAGTTGTTTGGATTTTCATTTTTGCAGATTTTATGAATTGGAGAAACTTTTCTCTATTTTATGCTCTTCAGAGTGTTATATCATTTCTATTTTGCAAGTGGTGTGTTTGTATCTTGCTCAGGAACAAGTGGAAGAACCTCTTCGTTGTCCGTATCTCGTTGTTTCGCCTCTTGACCAGCTGTTTTTAGTTTGGACAGCTGCTTAACTTTATCTATCCTCATCCAAACACCGTTGACCACCCATGTTATCATTCTCTTGCACAACCAACTTCTTGCAAAACCCGCTTCCCGAACACCTTATAGGAGCCCTAAAACGATATCAACTATGCTCAGCTTTTTTTAGACACCAATTCTCTTTCGCATTGTTTAGAACAATCTTACCCTATGGATCCTATTTTTCTATTTCCTCCCATCCTTCTACAAGTTCTTAATGCTACAATTGATCAATAAAAACAAATTCAGAGAAGGGGGAGAACATTTTTTATTATAATAAGAGCCAATTTCTTTTGAATGATTTGGTTTGATTGTTAAATAGTAATTTGGATATTGGCTTAAATTATTAAAAAGTTTAGTTTTCAGTTATTGGATTGGTTATTGAATCAAAATTTTTAGTACGACCACAATTAAATAAAAATATATGATTTTAACTATGCTTTCATAAGTATATAATTTTAACAATACTTCTGTAATTAAACATTTTATGAACTAAATGATGTTTGCAATTATATGAATTTAACTATGTTTAAGTCTTATCAATTATGCAATAAAAAATGCATAATTTATATAAATGAAATAATTAATTGTGTAATGCAATTAACTTTGATTTATCCAAGTTGTACTGAAACAACCGAGCCAAATTGTTGTTTAGTATGCTTTGGCCATGCATTATATTTGATCGGTTCAATCCAACTTTTTGGACAACCAAAATGAATTTATTTTACAAATTTATAATTCAAACTGATCAAAATGCACACTCCCAATTCAAACGATAAATATGCTCATAATATATAACATGGCTTATTTTAATTTGGAAGGAAAGAAATGATTGACTGTTTAGTGAGATTTCAAATTGATTGAATGTGAGGTCTTTTTAAATGAAAATTATTGTTACTTTTAAGTTAAGGCAATGGAGTATTAATGGGTATTAGCATCTTAAAGTCAGGAATTTGTTTTTTAAATATAGAAATGGTCATTCTTAATTTATTAGAATGTTGTTGCTTAATCTTGCTCCTAAATGTATTTTTTAAGGTTTTTCTTCTTTTTTACGGTAATGTCAGCTTCTTCATGCAAGAGAAATTCCTTCTGATGTTATTGTGGACTTGTGTTAGAATTTGATGGAATTTAAGGGGTTTTGATTGACCATGCTAACCTGTATGCTCGTTTCTTAAAGCTTTTATTTTGTTGCTTCATCATATACATTTGATTGAATTGTGGGCTTGGAGCTTTTATCTTGCTTCTTCAACTAGCACTAGGGTACTCTTCTTTGATCTTTAGTTGCAGTTGGGTGTTGTTTTTGTAGCACCCTTTTCTAAGCCTATTACCCATGGGTTTTTATATGTCACTTTTTCTTTTTCTTTTCTTTTTTTTATTTTTTATTTTTTGACATTTATATCTTTTGTTTTGAGAATGTGTAGGTGGACGGTGACTTTGAAACCTAGAGAAAAAATGAGAAATGAATATTTTCGTGATAGGGTTGGTGTAGCTCCAGTGGCAGACAAGATTAGAGAGAGTCATCTTAGATGGTTAGATCACATTAAACGTCAAACATTTGATAATTCGGTTAGGAGAGCAAATGTGTTAGATTTAACTTATGTTAAGAAAGACAGAGATAGACCTAAAAAGACTTGGGCATATTGTAGGCTACATGAGTCCTTTTTCTCCATTGCATCTTATTTTGTGTCATATTTTCATTTAATTCTAATAGATTAAGAAAGGCAGAGATAGACCTAAAAAGACTTGGGCATATTGTAGGCTACATGAGTCCTTTTTCTCCATTGCATCTTATTTAGTGTCATATTTTCATTTAATTCTAATAGATTAAGAACTCATGTAGCCAACCCAACTAAGCGAGATAAAGGATTGTTGTTGTCGTACATTTATATCTTTTGTTTTCTTTTGGATTAGTAAATCTGGGATTTAAGATAAAATTGAGAAGAAATTGAGAATGAACTAGATTTATTAAATCTTGGGCTTAAAATTGTCATTTTTTTCTGTCTGACAATATTTGACTTAAATTCTAGTTAAGTCCATTACCATACAGCCCCTAAAGTAATTATTGTATCTCTTAATAGGATTATAATATATCCACACGTGACACGTGTAATTGTTTTCTTTTTTATTCATTTAATAGAATTGGACCATCCCTTTTCGTTAAGCCTGCTTACACACACTGAATTAGAACACAAAAAGGTTCATCATCAAAGAAGGTGCAGTGCTGCAAACCTAATCAAATCCTACTATTTTCTCTGGAAAAAACCATAGGTTACTGTAAACCTAAGAACTGAAACAAATACGCATATATTTCAGCTAACCCACAATGCAAACTCCGAGGAGGATAACAACGCAGAATCATGCGAAAAGAATAAATCTACACGCGCTAAAAAATCACCACCAGAATAGCATCGAAACATTATGGCAAGGCCTAGAGAGCGCTATGCTTCGATAAAATCAAACAAACAAAATAAAAAACAAATTCTCCAAAAGAATAAGATAGATACCGCGGGACTCGTTTCGGAGAAGAAAACCTTGTTGTCAACATCCGGTATCTGCCGCTGAGAACAAATGAAGAAGACAGCAGAGAATCCGAGGAGCAGTAAAACGTATGCAGAGATTGAAGGAGGGGGGAGCCGGAAATGGAAAACCGGAGAAGAGGAGTATGACCTGCAGGGCACCATTTGCATACCCTCAAGCTCTAATAGTCGACAGCGGTCTGGGAGACGTCTTTGTTATTGGGAGGAAATTTAACACTCAAATCTACGGTATTAGATAAAAAATTTGGGGCTATCAACATATTTAAAATAAAATGCATATTTGGGATAATTACCTATATATAAAACATTGCTTTTTTTTTCAAAATTAGCACATAGTTTGATATTTCTATGAAAAATTTTGATATAATTTGACATTAAAATATTATAGGGAGATTTACATACTTGCCACACAATTCTTATGTATTTACATATATATAATTCCCAAAGTTTGATATTTACATTTATAAGCATGTTAAAACTCGACTGGACTAGTCGAATTGTGAGACGTTAGGGCAGCAAGTAAGGATGCTAGATACAATTGATTTTGAATAATCAAAATTGGACAGGTGAAAACTGGGGTCAAATCGGTCTACTGCTAAACTGACTGTTGTTTTTAATAACAGGTTTCTTTGTTTTTTTTTTAGTTTTTTTTTTTTTTTTTTTTTTTTTTTTTATACTTTATTTCTTTTTTTTTTTTTATAAGAAAGAAAGAAATATCAAAATTATTTTATATTTTTATTTAAAGTTGTAATGTCTGTTTGGGGTGATCATAATATTTTTTGCATAAAGCTAATATTTAATTTAGCTTATTTGATTTATTATTCAAAAGATTGTGACTAATTTATATAAATAAAGTTGTGTGATTAAAATGGAGTAGTACTTTAGAGGAATGTAAAGTTCTCTTTTATCTTTCTCAATTGATAGTGATTTGATATGATAAGAGAAATGTATATTAGAGGATGTGGTTATAGCTTTCAAGTTTCCTTAGGTTTTTTATTAATCTTAATTTTCTATCTTTTACATTGTACTTCTAGAATATCAAATCTTGAAGGAAGGAAATATGAAATACAAGATTTCAAAGAAAGATTTTTTTTTTTTGCAACAAATATGAGGTTAGTCATTCAAATATTAAATATTTTTATATTTAAAATTGTTGAATTTATTTTTATTGTGTTTTATGTTTTATGATGCAATTGTGATTACTTTTTAATTAGCATTTTCATGTAATATATCATTATTATATTATTCGTCATATTTAAATACTTTTTATATTTATTACATCATTGAGTACAACCTCTGCTTTAATCCCGGTTGAACCAATGAACCTTAAGCATTTCATTCTTTCAGTTTGATGTCTGATCTGATTTTCACAACATTGGTTATAACACCTTAATGTTATAAATTGATGTATGTTGTTGAATTCAAATTTTTCATGTAGATCATGCCAAAAGAATAGAGCGTAGAAACCGAGAGAAAATGAGAAAAAGCGTGAAAGAAGAAGTGACATTGCAATTACCCCCAAAAGGGCAAAGTGGGGGGCTTTTCCAGGCTCTCGAACTCATTTTATATATTGAAATAAGTTGTTACAAGATAAAAGAATAGTTATGCCTAAACAGTTGAAAAAATCAAATGGTATGAGTCCCCTTGCATAAAAAAAAGGTCATCCTATTTATAGATAATAGAGGGATAAAAGTGTAAAAATTGCAACATGGTCATTGAGAGTTATAAGTTATTATGTTGGTTATTATTATCTGCAGAAGTTACAAGTTATTATTGTCTTCATTGACACCTTTTCATATATCTGGCACATTTTTGTATGTTTGGCATCTTTTCGGACAAACACGTGTAAGATTTTATTCAATTTTCAAAGGATAATGATGGTGGTAATTTTTATGCAATTTAAAATATTTGAGTGGGTATACCTATAAATATGAAGGCTTGGGCGTTAGAGTGTAAATACAAAAAAATTGGTGATATTTATGTAATTGTCCCAATATTATAAATATAAATATCAAATTATAGAAGCAAGATATATAAGGATGAAAATTTAAAAAATGATGATAAATAAGAAACTTAATAAATCAGCATTTAAAAAAAAGAGTAAATTGACATTGTGTCATCACAAGTGATGACAATATTATCACTAGCTTATTGTTGTCATTTTTAATGATGACAATAACATATGAATTGATAGCAACAATAAAATTTGAATGATTTAAACGACTACAATAACACAAGAATTGGTAGCTGCCACATACATTCAAGCAGAAATCATTAAAGAGATGCATATTCATTGGAAGTCAAAAGTATAATCCAAGAATTTGTTAGAATTTATCCTGTCTACTTAAAAAGTAGGGACAATTTGCTATGCCTAGAAGCTACAAGAACCTTATCGAAAGTTGTTGTTGAACTCATTTTTTGTGAGGTCTATTTCCCTCTCTAGAATCCAGGATCTAGCTATAGGGTTTCCCTACTAACTCTCCTAGAAGACTAGTATTGAGACCCACACCACTTAGAAATTCTAACCACTTCTTTACTCCTTATAGTCTCATGTGTATGGTCTTAAATCTTCTACTCTTGATTGTGTCGACTGAGACAAACTCATTGAAACTCAAATCGAGTTCCCATAAAATTGGAAAATGCCTTAAGAAGATCTTTTGGACTTAGGAGTTTTCATTATTTGAAACAACACACACAAACATCACAATTCACATCACATTCACACTACAATTCACATACACACCACAATCAAAATTTAAATCTAATTTTAAAAATTCCTGTAAACCAAATATGAGCCTGAATTCACTAATCAAAATCAAAGTCAAAAATAAATAAAATGAAATCCCTCATGACATGACTTTGAGGTCCTTCGACGTGTGTTGAGAGGAATGATGTTGGGATCATTCCACTAGACTTTGACTCTTGCTTAGGCAAATATCGGTCAGCATTTATCTTGTTGAATGACTCCAATTGGATAGATGAATATCATCCACCGCATCACGTACAAACTGAACTTAAATTGACCCGCTCATTGATGAATTTATCCAGATGAACCTGGATGACAAAATAGACGGTGTGAGTGTATATAGAACGTCAACTTTATCTAGGGACCACACTCTTATAGATATGGTTCCGAGCATGAACAAATTGCACTCAAATTAATGAATTTAAATGAAATAATAATAACAAAATAGATAAAATAAAATAAAAAAGGAAAATCCATATAAAAACCCATACAACACCCCTCAACACACGACACTCCCTCAAACCTTAATCGGTCCTAGCTCACGTGAGCGAAAACCATCGCCCCTCTCCTCCCTTGGCTTGATTCAACATTAGACATTGATAGCTTAGAGCAAGCGATGAGAACATCCAAAACCTTTGCGACTGTATAAGATCTAAAAACTCTTGCATTTTCTTTCCTAGTTGGCCTTAGGTCAACTTATGGTAGGCGTATTGGGTCTGATCGCTCAAGCAGAGTGAGTGTGTCGGCCGATGTTAGTCGACGCAGTCACACTCCCTTGAATTGGTCGTTGATTTTCAACAAATAGTCAAAGGTTAGGAAGCTTTTGGCAGACACTCTTATGCGGATCTGAGTGATCCTCCTCAGTGAGCCATAGACCTAAATCCTAACAGGTTAGAGTCCCGATCTCCCCTTGCTTTAGTTTTCCCCAACCTTCCTTACAGATGGTTGGATGTTTGGATTTCAAAAAATGAGAAAGACTTTATAGCTATCTCACTTTGCAAAATCATGAGGAGTTTTGAAATAAGAAAAACTTTGTAGCTATCACATTCCACAACATTGTGGAGAGTTTCCCTTCTAGAGACATAAAGATGAAACTCCTTACGCTCCTCGTCAAAGCAAAAGGTGGCTATGTCACGCAACCAAGTGCCAAACCCTATGTGTCCTATGTGAGATTGTTAGCACAAGTACGTCTTGTTATTGAGCATGATCGTTCGCTTTGAATTGTGGCATGTGTGTGCCTTGCTTTAAGCATCTTCCACTTGAACATGGTTTTAAACAGCCACCCTGGCCCGCTCGACACCACTTCTTGCCCTGATCGGCTGCCCCAGCTTGGTCGACATCACTTTTGCTCCAATTGGCCATCGTCACATGATATGCATCACCTTCTGCCTTAACTGGCCGATCTAGCTCAATCTATACAGCACTTTGGTTCGACCGGCCGCCCCAACCCGACCATCTGTTCACTTAGGCTTTATTATTCACCCTTGTCTCGTTTTCAGATCACTTAGGTTTGAACAGTTGCTCCTCCTCGGTCGGCCGATCACTGGCATAATGCACGTTCTGCATGTGCTTGCTTTTTTGCTTGCATGGTACATTATACCTTGTATATGTTTTTCATTTGCATGTGTGTTTGGTCATTATTGTGGCAAGGTGTAATTCTCCTCAACATCTTATACTATAGGCGACTGAACGCAATACCTCTTGTGTTATATGTCTTGCATGACTACTTGCATGATCTTTATCACATGCTTGCTAGAAAAATTTTGAGTGTCCTTTCATACACTTATCTCACTTGTATGATTCTCCCCAGTGAGGATCATCACCCTTTGGGTCACTGCCTCCACGGTACGCCCACTATTTTGGGTCACTACCTTTACGACATACTCATTTGTCGAACCTCTGCCTCCACGACACGACCACTCTTTTGGGTCATTGCTTCCATGACACACCCATCTGTCGAGTCGTTGTCTTCACGACATATCCACTCCTCTGGGTTACTGGCTCCGTGACACACTTATATGTTGGGTCACTGCCTCCACAACATGCTCACCTTTTTGAGTCATTGTCTCCACATATCTTCAGTTGGTTTAAGAGCTTTAAAATATATATCATATGACATCATATGCATGGTCTCTTCCTTTTTTATTTATTATAATGACATTTATGTGTATGATTACTTAATGCTCTATCTTGTTCCCAAATTCTCATTCAAATTTCTCTGTGTGGGTTTGTGAGGTAAACCCGGTGGTGGTCGAGACATTGGATGAACATGAAGCTACCCTGGAGAAAAAGAAACATAATACATCAAACTTTATGTCGGTGAGATCTATTAAAATTCAAACCCAAATAATAATTATATATATAAAAAAATATAATAATAATAATAAGGATAATAACATAATAATTATACCTAAACAAAATAACATAATAATTATAGTATACC